CAATGTGTACTAAATTTACAGTAAGATCTACACTGCCTTCGATCACTTTATTTTATGTAATGAAAGTTGTTTTCCGAGATTCCTTGACATGTACATAACTATCGTTTCTTTTCCTCTTTGTTCAATTTGTTCCTGCTGGTCCTGATAACAATCTTGCTCTATCGGAAGCAACAATCCCAGTTGTTTGCACCTGCACTGATAATTTACTGGCCTACTGCACATAGCCATCGGCATTGTTTACGCAGATCAAGCTTGGGTTGTAACTGGAAGTTAAAAGTACAACCTAATTTACAAACCAAATCCGGAAATCAGGCGATAAGCATGACCCGCCATGTCATAAAAATAATCAGGTTACGGGTCAAAAAGTAACCCGACGAAAGTGGGTGAGTTGGCAACTATCTACAGAACTGTTGAAACTGTATGATTTTCAAGCAATTTATGGAATAAACGCAAAAATTGGCATGTATATTCCTACGCCGGATACATGAAGGTCTTGGTTCGAGTACATATTATTTGGCGCATGAAGAAAGCGGTGAGCAGTCAGAGATTTCCTCATAGCTAGATGTGCATCGAGCTAAAGCTCGACGCCATAAAAATTAATTAAAATTTCTATTTTTAGTAACCACAACAACACCGATCATTGAAATCAAAATTCAATAAACAGAATTATGTATCTTATTGCAATCAACTTATGTGCCAAATTATACTGAAATCAGACCAAAATTGTTGGAGGAGTAGCTTTGGAAAATATTTCAGGGAAATTTTTATTTTTTGTAACCATGGCAACACCATTTGGCGAAATCAAAATCCGATATAAAGAATTATGTATTTTAGTGTAGTCAACTTGTGTGCCATGTTATACTCAAATCAGACCAAAACTGTAGGAGGAATAGCATTTTAAAACCAGATGATGATTGAGCTCTGCTCGACATCATAAAAATTGTTTATGAACAGAAGGACAGACGACGGACAACTTACTGTCACATAAGCTCTTCTGGTCTTGGACCAGTAGAGCTAAAAATAAACAGTACAGTCTGCTTACAATAAATGGTTTTTCCTTTAATTCATCTTCTATTGCTTCCAGGGCTTCCTTGAATCCTTTAGGAATTCTTTTTGAGAGCTTGAACTTGTCTCTGTGGTCACTATACAAGTAGACATTTTCTTCTGGAATCCAAGCACTAAAAGAAAATAGCTATACATTAAACTAAGGCCAGATGAAATATCTAACTTCCTATTTTATGATGATTGTTTAATGTCAAAGTATATCATTATGAAAAGTGAATCCAATAACATAGGGTCTCTGGAGTTTCCTTTTGTGTTAATCAAAACATGGGACAAATTAATACACTTGGTATATTCTTTAAGTAAACATAATTTTTCAATATCTGATAAAATCGGTTGATTTCCATTTTTCAAGAATAAAATTTAAGGAAGGTTTAATATATATCTTGACTTGCAAAATTCTTCACAAATCAAACTTAAAAAAAAAGAAAACAAAAACAGGGAGGTTCAAAGGCTGGATGATAATTTGGGAAAAAATCAGGCCTAGTGCCCAACTTCGACATAGCCATAAAATTGATACTAAAATCAGAGTTTGAGCCATCAAGCATGCACTTTATAAAATGTTGACTTTGAGTACATAACTTATACAAACAAAATTATGCTACATATTTGCTATTTGAAAAAGTTACGTTATCCAATTTTTTTCCCCCTTTATTTATAGGAATCGTAGTGTTTTTCCTTATACATGTAGTGTAGTATGAAACACTGGTTCATCTGTATATCACTATATGTGAAAATTTATAGGTATGGGGTAATTTACACTAATTTACACTGCAATCTGAGAGATTTTGCATAAATATACCCCCTAGTGTTCCAAATCCTTTATTATGTTTTTATTTAGTTATCTATAAAATAGCTTTGTGGAAATACCCCTCGTGTGTAATAAGTTTGAAACTAAACTGCCCAATTAACATGTGTTAACATCCACATTTAGCCAATAGTGCATCAATTCTTCCACATAACCTGATAAAAAGCATAGTTGGTACAGTGTTTAAGGCAATACTTTCACCATATGGAACTGAAGACACTCCAGAGATTTTAAGAAGCCAAATGACAATGTTATACTATGGCCATACTCACTAGTTTTCAGACCCGAAGAAAAAGACAAAGTGGTGCACTTTCTTGTTATTAGCAGGCTTCTTCACTTCAGGTTTTGGCTCTATGATCTATAAAGGTAAATATCATTATTTTAAAATATGATTATATTTTGTTAATGATACTTCAATTATTATAAATTTTAAGAGGATTTTTATAAAGTTAAACTGAACTTAACTCCACAATGATTTTAACAGTGCTAAGCAAATTTTAAAATTATATGATCATTTATAATTCTATAAAATAATTTCATTTAATGCATACTGACTACTCAAAATATTACAAAATAAAACCAATATACATATATAATTACTACAAAGGTGCAATTTTGGTATAATTTTATTTATCTTAAGACCATGAGTAGTTTTAAAGCAGTTGACTTTTTCTATTGCAGGGTATCAATGGAAATGATAAATGGTTATAACAACAGAGATATTTACATTGAGGAGCATTATCAAAATAGAATAGTCTTTTTTTTTCTTGCATCCTTAGTTTTTATGTACTTTCTTGAATATTCAGAAGATAATCTTAGTTTGATTTTCATCATAATTTGTTTTTGCAACTATACAAGAAGAATAAAGGGTTTTAATTTTTTTTTGTTTTTGGTGCAAGCATCTAATGTGTTGAAATAAAAGAATGGAGGTGAACACAGTGAGCACATTTCCTTATCTAGGATAGAATTTTTATCAAATTCAAAAGTTTGAGGAAAAGATGCATTAAAAAAAAAAAGAAAACAGTGTTGATAGAATCATTTTTAAACATTTGATTCCCCTTACTTCATTGAATTACTTATTAACAAATAATTCACTTTTCAATTGTTTTTAATGTATTAAGATTAAGATGACATTTATCTAGAACATTTTAATGTTAAGAAATGTAAACTGTTTCTTAGCAGGGAATTTTTGTCACCTTGTATGCCCATATTTCAGTGGGATAAAGAGCTTTGGAGCTGAAGTTTTGATAAATGTTTATAATACAACCTAGTCCAAAAAATCTTATGTTTTCCAGACTCTTTTATGATTTTGATTTTAATTTAAACAATATTTTATTATGAATAAACATAATTGGATTGGACAGCAGGCACTGCCTATATAAGTCCTTTCCACAATACAAGATCAAGTCATACATGTAGAAGTAAATATTATTAATATAACATTGAAAAATATATATATATACATGCATATATTATGATTTTGATAATTTAACTGTCAGGAAAACATCAGAACCGTAAAACTGGAAATTTCACAGCTTCCAATTGCAATTGATTTTTGACACTTGTTAACCGAATTAAATGTCAAACTCACTATTTATTAATAGTACAAAAAACATCACTCAACATACTGAGAGAGCACTTGCAAGATTTTAAAATGCACGGATTCTTTATTTTAAAACCTATCCATAAAAATGATGTTGATAAGTATTTAAAGTATTGTAATGTTGATAAGTTGTGAGTTTGACATTTAATTTGGTTCTCAAGTATCGAAAATCAACCCCAGAATTTGTAATGGTGCAGGTTTTGACATTTTCCTGGCACAAAAAATAATAAAATCGTGAAAAAGCCTGGAAAACGTCATACTTTTTGGACTAAATCCAACCATAAATAAAATTGACCAGAACTACTTTTACTCAATTCTCCTCAACAACAATACAAATTAAATTATGACTTTAAGATCTTACATTATCTGAATCATAACTTTTTAAAGTCCTTATTAAATGTGTGCTTTATAAAATCTTATCAAGATTTCGTGTCAACTCTTCCCAAGGCAAAGTTATATTTGTTTTGAATTACCTCCCTTACAACGCTGATACACTAAAAATATTCTTACTTTCTCAAAACAGACGTTTCTCTGTTGATTTACTGTTGTCAAATGGAAGATCAGTAGTGGTTCAACTTAATTTTCATGCAATTATTATCAAAAATTGGACTAAAAATATGCTGTGCCTATCAAATGGGCAGGTAACTCTGAATAAGTCAAAACGATAAACCAGAGAAGGGTCGGTGCTCGTGCTTACCTTTCCCGGCCATGCCGGAAATCCCTTCATCTTTGCCCTGCAAATATAGAAATAAAATTATCATGTTAACATTTCTGAGAAGCAAAAACATCGGTGTGGCTAAAGAAAGTGTAATCGGCACTGCTTTCTTACCACACCAAATCGTCGATTTCAAAACCAGTCGCCATGATTATTGGAATTATGGGATAGTTCATTCTAAATGGATCCGGGCCACAATTAAAGGGTGAAGGTCAAATGGCTAAAATGTAGCACATGTAGGAAATTCATATGCCTCCCTTTCAATGATAAAAATAAAAATAGCTCACATGTTTTAGATACTTTTGGGGTATAGAATAAAAGTATAGTGTCTAAAGTTTACAATGATATGCAGCAAGGTGCATTTCAAGCAAAAATTATGCCTAGAAATATGAATTGAAAAGAGCATTCATTTGGTTTGTTTACACTTTTTTTGTCAAGCGAGAGCCATACTGAGGTCATGACGTCAGAAGTTTATTAATAACTAGGGAATTCCACATTCAACACCCCTATTTCTGGATGTGAATATTTATCTGACACATTGCTCTATCATGTGGTCAAAGATATTTTGGAAATGAAGATTTTTAAAAAAGTTACAAAGAAAATAAAACACATGTTTTTACTATACAAGTCTATATGTAAGCTAATTGTGGTCCGGGTCCTTATGATGGGGTGTTTGAGGGATTCCCCTGAATTTATTTTTAAAGATATGACAATGAAATTTTGACAGGAGGTGGGTTATGCATTTTGAAATAGTTTCATAAAAATTTTAAAAAAATATTTTAACATTTTAAAATTAATTTTTATAAAAATTAAAAATTTTTGAGTGATTGAAAAAAAAATTTAAATTATGCATCCCAGAATGCAATATTTCAGGGGAATAGACATGTCGGTGAAAGAGGTCACATTAGTGCATCCATTGACCACGAAGATAGTTCCTTTTTAAAAATAGAAAAACTGTTTTGTAATGTGTATTTGTATGTGTAATCTTAATAAGGGGTCCCTTTGAAGTCATAGATGAAAGACGAGGTGTTTATTGGAAATGACAGACGAGCTATCCATTGATTTTTCCCCTCAAAATAAGGCGTAATAAGAAGGTGGTGATTGGGCCAATATTTACAATAACATGTGCATGGATTTATTTTGCAGGAAAACACGTGGAAATGGGATTCAGGCTTTGCCCGACTCATAATTGTACATGCAGACAGAGGTTGTGTATTGGAGTTTATAATTTCAGGTGAGTGGAAATTATGTTGTGTAAAAATATGTACTTTTCACTAAAATAGAAATGGGGGTTGATGGGTTTGTCATTTCAAAGAAGATCGGGGGGGGGGGGGGGGATATAGTTTGTAGTTTTTGACAAAAACATTGATCAGTAAGTATGTATGTACTATGTATGTATGTATGTATGTATGTATGTATGTATGTTCATGTGTGCGTATGTGTACGATATGTTTTATGTATTTATGTGGAAGTTTTTGGGTTGTGGCCTGGTGTTAATTTTTACACGTTTCTCATACGACTTTGTATAGTAGGTATCTTTTCGAATAATTTGGTTGGCCCTGAGAAGGGCCGTTTTGTCTTTGTCTTGGCGACTCATGTCTGGTAGTAGGTGTGATCCTCTGGATTGCTTCCCTTGGACTGTAGGCTGGTGGGTTTGGGATCAAGTTGCCCTTTGTTGTAGGTGCACCCGGGTTTGGTCTTTCCTTTTCTAGCTGCATGTTGTTTCATTAGCGTAGCTTTTCTCTGCATTTCTCGCCTTTTAACTGCTTTTCTCTTTCTGTATTCTCTGCGATAGGCATATTCCTGGTCAATGCTTTTTAGGTACTGATGTGTGTGGCCGGACAGTGGCAATGTAATATCTGCTGCTTTCATTGATGTTGCTAGTCCCGGACTGTTGTTTTGTCTTAAAATCTCAGCTGAGAGGATTCCTTCAGCATTTCTTGAATAGTTGGTGTGCTTAGGTAAAACTTCGCTGACTGCTCTGTTAAGACCCTCACATTTCTGAGTTGACGTGTTGAGTTTCATTTCCTTAATGGCACTTTGGCTAAGTCGCATCTCAAGAATGACTTTTAACAAGTGCTTGTCATTTTCATTCAGGTGCAGGGATGTCAGTTTGTTCAGGGCGAGGAAATAAGACTGATTCCACCAGTTGTGTCTGTCTCCACCTTCACACACCACTGAATTCCTTCGACATTTTGAACAGTCTCCTGAGTAGCAGAGGATGGTACTTTCTACGACAAGAGGAAGTTTACTACAGATGATGTTGATGTCTCCAGTGTAGGTATCCATGAGTTTCTTATAGACTAAGCTGCACCGGGCCTTTACATCTTGTGCAAAAACTTTTCTCATGTGGTCTAACCTCATTCTTGTTTTGCAGGGAAACATCTCGGGGCTGAAGTGGGCACTGTGACACTGACGGAACTGGGCTCTGCTGACATGGGTTGGGTCGGCCAGTCGAGTGACTCTCCAGTCTGGATGAAAAATTCGCATGGCATCTTGGAATCCCTGGGCTGACCGGGCATCACCGTCTGTTGTGGCGTGCTTCACCTTGAACCCGTCTGCGGCCAGATCTTCGCCTATGGATTTAGCCATCTCGTATTCTGAAAGAGGTGAGAACATTTCAATATTAGCTGTGCAGTCTTCATGACCCCCCGGACAATGAACATCATAACCATTACCTCGAAGCCAGGTTCCAGTCCAGCAAAGTTTGTTCTGCATTGCCGCACCAATAATATACTGTTTGTCGGTGTTGGTCTCGCATGCAATGGCGTAAGCTTGTGATGCATTGTAGCCTGGCTTTTTGCTGCTACCGAAGGTTATGGAGTTGTAGCGTCCATCTATGGCAATGTCCAGTTCCTCTGGATGTTCTTGACCTTTGACCTGGTTGATGGCCTTAACCAGTTGTCTCTTCTCACCCATGTCTTTCTTATTCAGGGCTAGAGTGGCTGTGTTGACCTGATTGCTGGCCCTTTGCATGGAGCTGCGGTTAGGAGGTGGAATGTCCAAGGCAGCTACCATTTCCCGACTGCGTCGATTCCCCATGGAGGTGTTCTGCAGGGCTAATTGAAAGTTCCAGTTGATACTGGCAGGATTAGGGCCTGGTTTGTTAAAGGTAGGAATTTCAGTGTATAATTTATAGTAATTTGTCTGAAAATTACATACCGTACACAGTAGTCTCTTCTGCCATCCAAACCCCCATTTCCTCTGTCCTGAGTATTCCCACACTGGAAAATTACAGTGCTTGGACTGGTCAAAGTGGCTTTCGGCTGCATCATTAAACATTTCCAAGACCAATCTTATGTCTACAATGCGGTTTCCCTCAAACTCATCATACGTCTCTTCATTTTTTAGCTCCTGGCATGGCTCAGGTTGGGGACGAAGGATCGGTGTCCTTGAGATGTTTTCCTGGCCTTCAGCAAGGGGCTGTGCTGTCTCTGTCTCAGGGGATCCCTGGATGTTTGACGCTGAACTTGAAGCTCCTGCGGCATTTGACGTAGCCTGATGAGCCTTAATATAATGAATGTTCCCTTTTTTAAACCCAAAATTAAGATTTTTTCTTCTCTTACGGTCACCTTTCATTGTTTTCATGTGTAGTAAAGAGTGGATTTGAAAGTAAGATTGAATTATGACAATGTTTATTTGGACACTTTTTAGTGGTATTTACTGCAATATATTCCTTTGACAATCACCTGTCAAAACAGACTCCCATAGGGTATTAAGATTACCTATACAAAGACTCTTAGCCAATCAGCTGCACATGGCCCCTCTTCACAGTCAGGAAAAAGGATATGGGGGTGGGCTTAAAAATCTGTTTATTTTGAATGTTATGTACACTTTTATCAGTAATGTGATACATCATTTGATTTATGAATAAATGTACTTTAAATGTTTACCCCTATTGTCACTCTCAGATTTTCATGATAGATTTTATATTTCTTAATTTAAGAAAATTTTATGAAAATACAGGGTACAGATCATCAAATTACCTAGAAATCTAAAAATCTTGTATTTTACATATTTAAGAGTGTGTGTGTGTTTAAGAGGTATCAACAACTTACTTGTAATAATTAGTTCCTTTTATTGTCTTACAGTTTTTACATATTTCAATTTTAAAATTTCATACTTGCCATTTTTGGCCATTTTCTTTCCTGTATTGCCTTAGTATACACAATATGTAATTTTACATGTAAATATCAACCAATTTCAATCAAACTTGGTATATTAGTTAAGTAGTATCTAAGGATTTCAAATATGGCCTTAAAATTTTTTAATGAATTTTATGCCCCCATATAGGATCCGGGCCACAATTAAAGGGTGAAGGTCAAATGGCTAAAATGTAGCACATGTAGGAAATTCATATGCCTCCCTTTCAATGATAAAAATAAAAATAGCTCACATGTTTTAGATACTTTTGGGGTATAGAATAAAAGTATAGTGTCTAAAGTTTACAATGATATGCAGCAAGGTGCATTTCAAGCAAAAATTATGCCTAGAAATATGAATTGAAAAGAGCATTCATTTGGTTTGTTTACACTTTTTTTGTCAAGCGAGAGCCATACTGAGGTCATGACGTCAGAAGTTTATTAATAACTAGGGAATTCCACATTCAACACCCCTATTTCTGGATGTGAATATTTATCTGACACATTGCTCTATCATGTGGTCAAAGATATTTTGGAAATGAAGATTTTTAAAAAAGTTACAAAGAAAATAAAACACATGTTTTTACTATACAAGTCTATATGTAAGCTAATTGTGGTCCGGGTCCAAATGGCGTGGGTAGAATTGTGGATGGTGGGAATTTAAAAATCCGGACACTTCTTTCTCTCTCGGAGTCTCTCTGGTTTCTTTATATATTTGCTTATCTTTTTCATTTTGTTTCATTTAGGCTATCGTTTTCCCCTTTTCCGGGCCCTACAAAATATACAAATACAAATATTTATTGGCAAAAAGGCAAAGACCCACAAGACATATATAATTCAATTTATTGACATCACCATGTTGGTATACAGTCAAAATAATATAAAATTTTCTGCAGGAGGGTACAAACGAAAAAGGACTTGACATTTGTATATAATTCACTTAGCTAAGTTTTTAATACATAGGCGTCGGAAGCAAATTGAAAGTAGGGGGAGGGGGCTAAACCAACAAAAAAGGTAAAACCCAATATTTTCATT